TAACCATTAGAGCTAGTTACTTATGAGTTATGACAGCGGACGGCCCAGTCATATATTCAGTTCCTTTGTACTTTTATAGGCCTGCAAGCCCATTTATATAAAAAAGGGTCCTTTAGCCCCAGAGACCGCAAGGGACTTCTTGAGAGGAACACCGAATAAAAAAAAAATATCAATGCATAAAGATCTAAAGATTCTGTACAGCTTTTGTCAAACAGCTATGAGATTAGGGCTTACGTTTAAAAGAATATGCATCATCGCTTACGTACCCGATGATTCTCTGAAACGTCCGTAAAATTTTATCCGAAACTACGCGGCGCAACGTCCCAGACGACAGCTAACTTCAAAACAAGAATTTTCCCCATTTGGTATGCCATATACCACCCAGCACTTAGAATGTTCTTGTAGCTCTGAAATATCCGAAAGTTTGTCCAGCTATTTAAATAAAAAGACAATCTGACGACATTTTGGAAAAAAAACTGCTTTGCAATATTATTTGCGTTATTACGGTCAAAGCCACCTTAATTCAGTATCTTAATCCGGTCTCTGCTCTGAAACAGACGTGCATTAACTAAACTAACAGCTATTATTTCCTTAAACAGCGTTAACCAGTTGATCTTCGCAATGGTGAAGTGTAGTGTTTTCTTCGCGGTACGGGCCGAATTCTTAACCACTTGACAGGACTCGAGGAAAATCAGAGCTTAAACAGCGTTAACCAGTTGATCTTCGCAATGGTGAAGTGTAGTGTTTTCTTCGCGGTACGGGCCGAATTCTTAAATGTTGTTTGGATGAGCTTCATTAATTGGCATCCGTTCCCCGCGCTCTGCAACATGTCGCCGCGAGCCGTTGAACTGATTCAAGTACCGACATTGGGACGCAGCCACTAAGTTGCCGCGTGACTAGCAGACGCCCCGCCGCGTGGCGCTGCGTCTCTTTCAAGTCGCCGACAGTCGACTATCGCTGCCCGCACAAAATCCACCTCCGTCACAATCATCAAAGCTGCTGCACAGAAAAGAGAAGAAGTTGCACTTCATCTCTTTTTGTTGTCCATTTCTCTCATTCTCCATCTTTATTCGTCTGTATTTCTTGTCACTGTCTCGGTGCCTGGGGCATTTTCTATTGTTTCTTATCTCTCAAAATACAAGCTACTCTATTACCTGTCACTTTTTGTGTATCCAAATCTTTTGTTCTTCGAGTCTCACCCATGTCTTCTGCCTTATCCTCCCAAATTTCTGTTTCTGGAATTCGTGGATCGAGGTAGGAAGTAGGCAAACGCTCAAACCGACCTAACCAAAATGTCGGCGGTCTCCTTTATACCGGCACGTGATCCAGAGGTCGCCGCCTTTCCTCCTAATCTGACAATCACCCGGTCATCATTCTACATCCTAATTATGTTGATTCTTATTAAAGATAACCAAGAGTTATTGTTTTGTGTATTTTAACGTCAACATTTTTAGACAGAAAACGGGGGTTGGGGGGGGGGGACATTCTGAAGAACTCCGACAGAAATTTAATAAAAAAAAACCTACTTCGTACAATTTCGCTTCGTTGGCTGGGAATTCATGTTTTATTTGACTAAACTGTTTCAGCTACAGAGGTTATAGCGTTGATTTAGATTAAATATGATAATGACAAAGAATGTTGCGGACAATTTCAATGTACTGTAGTGACGTCGACGTATAGATACTGATAAATCAGACTATCCGGTAACCGGGGCCATCTCATTTGAGAACCTGTAATCTCACTTGGTACCCAGAACTTACTCGTTAAGACGACACTAACTAACAACTCTTAAAGTCGTCAGAAGTCGGACTAACTAATGCCGGTTTACGTGAGAGATTTGGCTCGAGTATACAGCGTAATATCGCTGTAATCTTTTGATTAAACGCTGGGTAACGAATTGATGCACTCATGTGGGACAGACGAGGGATAATATTAAAACGAATAAAGCCTGAAGTTGTGGACTAGATGCATCTGGCTCACGTTCGGGATCTCGTGAAAACGCTATAAAACATTTGGGTTCCGTATAAGGCGAGACATTTCTCGACTAGCTAATCGATCTTTAGCTTTTCGAGAAGGAATCTTCTCCATGGACTAATAAGTGTGAATTGTTTTACAGGATAACAGGAGCATTGAGATGCCCGTGTCATCTCGACAGAAGACATCCCGTAGCCCAGTTAAGTACAGAACATCCCATCACGGCAGGAAGAAAGGCAGAGGGTCACATGTCAAAGGCACGGCAATGTCTGACGAGGACGCGCGTCGTAGCAAACAACGACGTCGGAATAACGGCCGTGGAAGGGGCAAAGGCCAAGGGAAACATCGCCACAACAAATCGAGACAAAACCGCGGAGACGCCTCGCCCCAACACAGTCACATTCGACGAAACTTGGAGAAACAGTTGCTGGTCGGAAACAGAACCCTGGAACTACTTGGCGGCGGAGGCGCAAGGATACTTTGGACAGGCAACAGTACTACCACGCTGACAAACGGAACTTCAAATCCTCCGGCAGTGTTCGGGGACTCCGCTTCTGCACAACGCGTCTCGCCCCGATTAGCAATCAAGAACGATAATAATACGTCATCAGATATAATCCAGTTAGATGACAGTATTACGCAGTCTCAGATGTCTTTTCGTCAAGCAACAGCAGCATCTGGTACAAAGACTGGTCAGAATATTAGTAATTCTCGTGGTAACACAGCGTTTAAATTTTCAGAACGTTCACAAAGCGCCATAACACCTGTTGACAACAGTAGGGCGCGAAATATCCCGGTCCCGATAAGATCCGGTGCTGACGAAGCGACAATGACGGATTACCAGTACGATTATGACGGGATTCAAGCTCCGGGTGTAGTTGAATCTTCCGTCTGGTTCAATCCCACGGAGTTGAGGAAGGAAGACGAAAACACGGATGTATCTACTAAAGGTGAAAGTTCAGAACCTGGGTCAATGCAGGCTGCTGTTGGTACAACGCTGGAAACGGTCCTGGGTGTTCTCACGGATCACAGCGGGAGTGGTGACTCTGGCGAAACGAGCAAAGAACACGATGATCCATGTGAAAAATGGATGAGATGCAAGGACAAGCTCCGAAGGGCTTTCCTCGGTCCCCTGGGAACACTGCCATCATGTCCATGTAACTACCCCAGTGCGATATTCTACGACGACAAAATATGGGACCAGGCACAAGGGAAATATTACAGGTAAAAGCTTTTAGGTTGGCAGCATTTTATTACCGGCGATATTTTGAATTACGAAGACCTCTGCAACGATGACAAAGAAATATGGTAGTATAAAAGTGTTGAGGTTTTCTTGAACAGACTGTACCCACGGAAAAACATCCTCACTGGACTCCGTGGCCAGAAAGAACTTGAGGAATAATTTAAATTTGCTGTGCCGTAGCTCAGGTCAAACGCCGGCTTCTCACCAAGAAGAACCGGGTTCGACTTCAAAATTATTTTCATCCATCACCGCCCCTCGAAGTGGGCGATAGCTCTGAACATGAAGCACATTTCATAACCTCGGTCCTGAATCAGAGGCTTCATCTCTGACAGGCATTTGGCTGTTCCCAAAGTAAGAGAGTTTGCTTTTTCGTAATGTCGGATCGCGCATTAAGACCCTCGTAACCTTGTCGAGTTCAACCCCGCGTCCTTGGCCCAATCTCAATAAACGTTTTTCCAAGAACTCTGGGACCAGGTAAGGTTTTGCTTCGTTTGCTGTGTTAGGGAATATTATTTGTGTTAATCTTTAAACATTACAGAAGACTCAGGTATAGTCTGAAGCCTGGTTTGGCCATTGGAATGATTAACGTTGCTTGTACCACAAGAGAGTCCATTGCCAACCTTACAAAATCAGACAGATACGCAATAACGCAATTCTACTTTAAAATCTCTGACGTCAATCGACCCAGAATTTATGTTTTAGCTGTGAACAACTTTTCCCCATCTGTGGAAGACGTGAGATTTTGATAACAGACTCAATACCGAGTTTTAGGAGCGGTTTAGATTAAAATGTAAAGTTGGCACGCATGTGTCAGAAACAAAGTCTCTCATTCTGGCTGGGGGGGAGGGGGAGATATTCCTAAATACACATCTAGCCACGGAACCAATGAACGACAGATGGAAGGACTTCAGATATTGCGTTCTTCGCACAGAATTGTAAATTTTAAACAATTCCATCTCGAGCCAAAAAAAGCAGAATGCGTGGTGGAGTTTTACCTCCGTGACTCTCATAATACGCTCATGACGTGCAGGTGGCGTGACGTCAGTGGGGAGGCGGAGCGACTGGACGTGTACAAGCCAGGGGCCGCGTATTGCATCCGCTCCTTGTTGGCGCAAGGCAGCTCTTCGATAGCAGCGCAGCGTTGTTGCTACGACAGGTGAGACAAACAGACAACCACAATGTGCGCCTGCGCGTACGGTAGTTTTACAAACTACGGAGTTCGTAGGCTCATTGTCGTCAGAGAAAGAATTTAGAAAACAAAAGTCTAAGTGCTTCAAACTCTGAAACTTGTTTAGGATTGTTGATTACATTCTGTGTGGCAGTTCCTTGATAAATTTCAGTTGCAAATACCCATTTCATCTACGCCACACAAGGACTGGCATAATATTTTACCTGAGGACCTAAATGGGCTATCATATGCATATTGTTGAATATACAGGAATCTGAGAAATGTTGTAGACAAAATTTATACATTAGTGGGATGAACTTTAAGCACGTGTGTTTCAATTTTTGAGTCATTCCTTTTAGAATTTGATCAAATTTTGATCCAAGGCATGAATTAAGGCTGAATTAAGATTTTGAGAGGCTCTAAGCTATGACCAGGCTCTTAATTTTTTTTTAAAAAAATCAGAAATAATTATTAATAAACATTAAAGATTTGTATTTGAAAAATTACATGGTCACCCATTTTCATGGCGAAATAATTTAACATAGTTGCTTTGAAATTACATTCAATTTTTAAATGAACACTATTTTCTTTAGTAGGAATGGAATCTTTGGATTTATGAGTCTGCTAAAATGTATTATTGGTGTTGAAAGAAATTTCAGTATTTGGTGGTCCCTCAAACTGTGAGATGCTAAGCCATAACTTGTTTACTTTGTACGTAAATCTGACATTTTCTGTCAAAAAATCCTTCGGTTAGGTTAGGTTAGGTTAGGTTATGTTAGGTTAGGTTAGGTTAGGTTAGGTTAGCAAATGTGCATAAAAATAACATATTTATATGGAAACCCATTTACCTACACCTGTAGCGACACATAACAACATTAAAAGGTCAAAGAATTGTCGTTCTTACACCAGATCCGCCAATGAATGATATCTTACGATTTAATGTTTCAGGTATAGAAGGCTTTTAACCCGTGGTTCTGGGGCTGGTACCCCAGATTTTGTCAGCCCAGAAGTATCTACTTCATTGCATCAGATGGTTGACATTCTACCCTGGAGGCTCTGTAAAGGCGACTTCACCAGGTCCCGCCAACTATTTTATTATGAATTATAGAATAAGTCAATAAACATCACTGCTCAGGGCATCAGATGTCACGTCATTTAAAAGAAAATATGTAGGGTTTGAGGTTCTCACGGCAGTGAATCCTACCGACGTTTCGGAAACAGTGCACAGTGTATAAAGATTAAAGCTGTAATTTTTTCTTGGATGTATTGGACAGGCCGCATTCCTTGAAAATAATGTTTTATGGTGACTGACATTTTTATCATAGGAGATCAATAAAGTGAACTAGAATATACAAAAACAAATATTTTTAAATTGAAACATTATACAGAATAATAAAGCAGCTCTGCATACACGGCAAGTTTCTTAAAGAGGGGCCAACATATTTGTTTTTCTCTCGTCGGAAAAATCGTAATATAATTCTCAGTTTAATTGCTTTGAATGGTTCAGTGTTTCTGAGTGAGTATTAAAAATATATTTTAACTTTTGCTGTTTCAGGTACAACGCGGTCCGTCCGCCAAATAATGAAAACAACTGCACAGCAAATCCCATCGAAGAAGAATTTCTACGACAAGTTCAAATTGCACAGTATTTTTAAATTATGGTTGTCACGTGATATAGAAAACAAATTTCTTTCTGCCTAACCAGTAAGACAGTTCCTAAGATTTCCTTTCTCTCCCCCCCCCCACCCCCTGTGAATATTGTCTGCTGTTAAATTGTTTATATTTTCAATATTTATTTTTACGTATTATTCCTAAATTTTTGTTCTGTGGAACCCTGAGCTCCAAGTGAGACTGATAAATTTTTAATATGAACACCAAACTGCAAAATTTGAATTCCCTTTCAGAATAACACAACGTCAATTCCATTCTCAAGAAACACCGAGCCTCGTTCAGGTCCAATAGCGCGGGAAAGCAAAATCAGAACAAAATATTGTGACAGTAAAACTCACATCAACGCAGAAGCTTAAGAAAATGGTTAATTATATTAAGAAAAGAAAAGCATTTGAAACTCATGCAAATCAGAAATCAAAAATGACTTAACTTGCGACATATAGGCAATGATAAGAATCACGTGAGTAAATAGAATACAAGAAACTCCTTTCCCGGGGGTAAAGGTCGGCCGGGGCGTGATGCTGACCACTCACCCCATCTAGCGCCGAGGTCAAGAATGAGTAGGAGCTGTATACCTCTCCCCCCAAGCGTCTACGTGGCGTATAGTGGGACAATGTCAAGTGACAATTATTCATTGTATAATGTACATGAAACGGTAATGTGTGAATATGTATCTACTGATGTATTTTTTTTTGTAAATACTCGTGAAGACTTCAACAATAAAATGTTTAAAATACTTTACAATCCTGATCTGTTCGGCTGTGTTCTTTATTCTGTCGTGGAAATCAGATCGTGAAGTGGAAAGATGATGACAATGCGAATCACTAATGCAACTCTTTATTTGGACAGGAGTCCGCTCCACCAAATCGAAATCTCCACCTTCTGCTTGCCCGAAAAATACTGCGAAATCGCCAAACGGTAACATTCACCCTGAAGATGGCTGCTGAAATGTATTCCGAATATTGGGCGATTTTCAGCATTCGACGAGAATCGTCCCCGAAAACCAAATTTGTCCCCACCTGACGGTAGCAACTACGAAATTTATGGTTCACTCGCACTAAACAATAGAAATTCTTTATTTTGGTTATCTGCAATACCGACCAAGGTACGGAGTTTGAAAGAATTATTTCAGATATCTCTCGAAAGATGGCGAAATGTATCCATGTCAGGTGATCCAACATGATAGTATTATTTTCTGATATTCATTACCATATTACAAAGTTACGTTCTGTTAAGAATTTCGAAAGTATCGGGAAGAAGTATTTAAGTAAAATATGTGTCATAACAGGTCCTTTTATTACAACTACTTTTTTCAGTAAGGAGCAGCACTTGCCAGCTTTGAGTTTTATATATTTGCCTAACTGGCATACAATTTTGATTGTCATCCGCTTTGTGTGTTGTCATGGTTACTTGAAATGCATAGTTTACTTTATAAAACCCGTTATATGATATTTTGATTATGGAATGGGGACTTGATTTTTCTCCTGGGCGGAAGGTACAAGTGGCAAGTATATAAAAATTTCTTGTGAGATGCTTAACATTAATATATCACACACACATTGTAATTTTTTTAATTTTAAATAATTTACATTAACACAGTTTGCTGTGAAACAAATTTATGTAATATAAAATAAGTCTGAGTTTGTTTCGTCACAGGCCCCACCACGGAGAGGCAGAAGAGCTGGCATTTCAGATAACACAAGCCCTACTGCATTTCCCCTTACTCCAGAACGAGATGATATTGGTTCAACATATGACATCATGGACAGTCCGGTATCAAACTCTGCACATTCATCAGGGTTTCTGAATAGTCCCCCAAAGGTGCTGTGAAATTCACAAGTTCCTTAGCTGCTTAAAAACAGAATGAGGTCTTTTCAGCATTGTGGAGGAGGTGGGCAGATGCCTTTTATGATACAGCTTCCTCCATAAAACGTATATACGTTTGGTACAATATGTGGGTTTGAAAACCATATGAAATGTCTTAATGATGGCAATTTTTAAGGCTGCCTGTCCCCATCTAGAACAGAAAATGCTATAATTATTGTCACTATTGAGAATAATAAATTGACAAAAGTCACACAGATTATTTGCCACTTGTATATTAACATGGAGTGTTGATTTATAACTAATTAACTCCATAGTGCAACCCCTCTTGAGAAGCTAATATGTTCCCAGATGGTCGAGAAATTTTCTGCCTTATTGAGGAACTCAAGTTTCATTACTGTACACACAACAGCCTGCCACTGGACCCCCTTTCGCAAACCAGATATAATCCCTTATCTGTATTAAGTGTGCTGTTAAATATATTTGGCAACACTGTTATTACCAGTTTCACATACTAAAAACTGGTTTAAAATCTTTCTTCCACCCTCAAAATACCATTTTGCACACACCTTCAAAGTAACTAAGTAAATGCAAGTTGCAAGATCTTCCTTGAAACAGTGATTGTTACTCAGCTTCTCAAGGAATTTACTGCTCTTATGAAACATTAAGGTTCATCACAAAGCACATTTTCTTGGTTTTCTCCTGCTCCAGGGATTGGACTCTGGTGCACCTGTCGCTCCCCCTAGATCACGGAAAACTGGAGGCTGGGCTGACGAAGCCATTAAGTCAGGAAAGTAAGTGGCGTCATTCGAGTGACAAATTTTTGGATATGTACGATATGTAGTTCAGGCAAGCCAAGTCCCACATCCAAAAAATTTTAGTGGCGAGCTAATGCCAAAAAGACGTAATTTTCCTCAAATTTTGACACCAGAACAGGAAACACCTTGATTTGATCACCCTGATAATAATTGGTTAATTGTAAAAATTATGAAGCTTCTACAACTATACTTGGCGCCACGACCCAGAACGACAACGTTGACATCTTCACCATCAATTTCACAATAACAGAAATGTTTACGGTGTTTTGGGGCATGGCAGAGGCATTATGATTTGCATATACAGCTGAAGCATGGCTGTTGCACCATGTAGTCTGGTAGAAAATGACTGATGTTTCAGCCGCTAATATTTAATAACAAATTTTGTTAGTAAAACTAGATCAATTAGTTTATTGTCAGGCTTTGAACATTTTACTGTAATGAACCGTACTTATACTTCTGGTATTCTTTCAGAAGACGAAGTGCCGTAAACTTAATTGAACAGTAAGTACACCTTCTTAAGCGTCCTTAATCATTGCAATACAGTTTTGCAAGAGGTGACAGAAATACAGAGATTCATAAAAATGAGATGCATGGAGATACAAAATTATATGCACACTAAAAATGTGTTAATTTTGTAACTAATTTTAATTCTGGACAGGACAGTGGTACTTATTCCTGGAATTGTACTTATTTAATTGTATTTGGAGAAATAACATCTGTCCAAGCAGCGTTAACACATGACGGACACAGAAAAATAACTTCAGGTTAAACTGCTTATTTATCTATGCACTGTTTTGAAATAATCAAACCTTTATTATATTACTTAATTTACTCTGTATTAGTTAAAATAATGTATAAATAGCAGCCATCCACTGTCTGTAAACTAACTTTTTTATTTTTTATCAGGGAGAGATTCAGGGAACCAGACCAAACTAAAGGTGACTCTGATGATGGTAAGTGATAAAGTAGAGGTCAGAGCACAGTTAATATCAGATTTCTATAACTGGAGTTACAAATGAGAATTATCATTCAATTTTCTGCTATGGATTCCATGCTTTTTAACAGTTCGTTACCATTTACCAGCTGTTTTGGTTGATTTCTTACAGATATCCCGATTATTCCAGATTTAGATGACACGCAAGATGAAGACATGGCATCTCAAATAGCTCATGCTCCTTCGTAAGTGACCGTAATAAAGAAAATGTTCTTGAAGCCATGCAACTAGTAGACTACATTAATTGATATGTAAAAAATCTGTTTCAGTTCTGTTGTGAACCGAGTTGATACATACAAGGAGTTGAACTCGGATCTCTTCAAACACGCGACATTTGCGACTCTGGACGATGTCAGTTTACGCCTCCTTACTAACTGCCTAAATCTTGAATCAGAAATTGAGGAGGTCAGTGTCAAAGTTAAACCCGAATGGCATTTTCTTTCAAATTTCACAATGAACCCTCTGAATTTTGAATTTTTGCTTACATATAAGAACATAAAATGTCACAGTGTAGTTGTACTGTGTCTGCTGATGATAGTGAAACACTAATCTCTTTCAGGATGACACAACATGGACATGGGATCTCCTGTTTACAAGTGTGGCGTCTGATCTGCATTACGAGTTGGAAAATCAAACACAAAGTAATTTGGATAAAGATGTGGCATCATCACCATGAAAAATCTCTGTACTGAAACTTGTCTTAATAAAATTTTTTGATGTAACTTAAATCACTGAATGCAAGTTGATGGAAGAACCTACCCAGAACTAGACCACTAAAAAATAGAGTAAACATATAAATAGTTATGCTAAGTATATGCCAAGAAACAAATTTCCATTAAAACATTATAATGTTTCTAAATGAGTAAGAGGAATAATGTTTGCCTGTGAGGTCTATTAAGAGCGAGGCACTGCCATCCCTATGTTGCAGCGCCACCTGTCTGTCGAGATGCAAAGTGATTTCAAATTATCATAATACAAGTACTCCTTTGGTTATCCTACAACACAGCTGACCATGTATTTTTTCCACTTACCCAGATTGCAAGGTTATAACATCATAGAATCTTACCATGAATGAATTTTAAGCTTTCTGAAGCTGAAAACATCAAAACCAAAACTATACACACAACATCCCAATATGAGTATTAACTATGGGTCATACAAATGTCTCATGTTCCCAGAACGTGCTACGTACCTTAGCCGTCTCATCTGCCTCGAATGGATTACGCTAACAACATTCATTACGCAATTTACTCTTCAGCCCAATTATGCAGTTTATTCAAAATGGTCATCTTGATGCCCGAACTTTTAGTCACATTAGTACATTGCATTGAGACAGCTTCATGTTATATCACATGCAGTCGATGCAAATAAAAAATAAGGGCATACTGCTCACTGCAGTGCCTGTATATGGAAGCGACTAAATTACCTCGTCTGACCTAGTCGAAATCCCCCCAATTTGGAAATCGCGGTAGTTCGAGGAGCCGAGAAATACTCAACCGTGCGGCAAGGCAACGGGGGCATTCACAGACTTCTGGAATCGACCACGTGACAACACGTACTGAGCAGATCTGCCTATCTCTTAGCGATCAATGTTCAGCTGTGCCATCACTTGACACACACTTCCAACTCAACTCTGTGTTGCCCTTCTATATAAAGTTAATAAACAACTTCATTTTTCATCTGCTTATTGAGTACACGTTTGCTTATTTAATTCACCAAATAAACCGCATCAGGTCAAAACCGAATACATGATGTATCTGGATAAAATTACTGTTATAAATACATTGTAACGCATTTGATACAAAATAGTTCAATAACATTTTAGTTACGTATTTTATGTATTACAAAATCGCTTGACACGACACGTACGTAAATGGTCCAGACACCTCTAGTAGAAATTCGGAACACATTTGTTCCGATAACGGTGGATCACCAACAATAATTGGCGCCAATATTCAAATATGGCTAACAGAACGTCGTTAAATTTAATAACATTATGTAAAAATTTCCATCTTTGTAACAAATTTTTGCTTGAAAGACTCTCGGGTTACAAGCCGCGTCAGGTGGCTGAATGAACCATATCTTCCGCCAACGTTTCTAGAGCAATCTCTGGTCTCATCCTCAGGGCTGCTGTGTAACAAATCTGGTAGCGCGCTAGAAACTTGGTTTTCTTCCCAGTAAAAATGTGACAATCTATGAAGATGACACGTATTCTTTGAACTCAACAGGAAATTAAACTTCTGTTCTTTTGAGTGTACACAATAGTCCAACAATCAACACTCGAAGAGAAACCGTAATTCTGTTTGGCTTAATTTCTAGACACTTCTAGGTACTACTATTCAAAGGGTTAATCTTACAGTAAGTACGATGATGAAGTCAATCAATTACTCACAGAAAAAGGAAATAACAACACAAGTTCTCAAAGAGTATTCAATTTACATTCTTCTAATAGGTAATATACAAACATGGTTTCAGAAATTACCTTCCTTGACTTCACATTTGCAATGTCGTACAATTCTACAAAACACGTATATTACTGTTAGCAGTTATTTCGGAATTCTTCAACATCTAAAAAGCACATAAGCAATGAACTATCATCCGTCTATATATAAAACTAGCGCACAGCGCTCCTTTCGGAGGAGCTACTCGGGGGGTCAAATGTTTAAAAAGTAAAAACCAACCCCCCTTCGGGGGGGGGGGGGGGGGGGGGGGGT